GGCTCTAAGGGCACTTGCCAGTAACCCTTACACAAATCTAAGGTTGTAATGTATCTAGCCTTTCCTAGTCTTTCTAGTAACTCATCAATCCGTGGCATTGGATACGAATCAAAACAGGAAATACTATTTAGCTTTCTCATGTCTGAACAAAATCGTAGTTGAGGGGAGTCTTTCTTTGGAACAAGTACAATGGGGTTTTTCCTTGTCCAACGGTTTCTTCCACGTCCTACACCCCTCATTCAGCGTGTTCTGTCCCTCATTCACAGGCGTAACTTTATCCCACTGCTGCCACCAACTGTTACGCAGTGAGGGAAACATCAGACTTCACTCCATCCCAATTAAAGTAATTGTTTTATTGTCTCTTGCCAACATGCAGACAGCAACTTTTCAAAATGGCCCCCAATCCATTTCCTGCTTCCTTTAAATACTCTAAAGACACACCTTCTTAATACACACTGGCCTATAAAAGAGCTGCAATTGAGGCAGGCTTCCTCTTTACTGGGAAAACAAGATGGCCACCACAAAGATAACCTGCAACGCTTTGTTACTTAAATGCTTCCCAACAAATTTATTTATTTATTTATTTTGCCCATGTCGCCTGTATCAAAAACCTCTACTGCATAAGGAAGTTTGTCTAATGACACCTGTTGTGAATAGGCGTAGCTTTGGGTCACGTGGTGTCGGTAATAGTGATTGCTATATGACCTGTTCACGTCCCGAGGGAATTTTTGTGAATGAGTGGGTGATGGGGGAAGTCGACTTTTGCTGACTGTTCAAATTTAGAATGTTTTTGATCACTGTTTTTCTACGGATTTTAAGGATTTGATAACAAATAAAGGAGTTTTAACCTGGAACTTTGACTTACGTTTTAAACAGCGGGCGCGTCAACATTATTCCCCTATTCAGCTGCTCGGCGACTCAAAGGCTTGACAGTCGCCAATAACACCTTTACAAACCACCCGATTGTGGTTAAAAGAGAGAGAAGCACAACACCACCTCCATCTCACTTCCTTTTATGTGAACTGGTCTCACTATCAGGAAAACAAAACCTAATGTTCTAACACAACAGGTCATCCCTCATCAATCATTGTCCATTAAAGCTCTCCAATTCTTCCCCATGAAAGGGAATCAAAGAGCTCATGGTTAATAAAATCACATTCATATTTACTTCATATTAGATATTAGAGCTTTGATTTAATAGAAAAGCCTCGTACTGATGAGTGAAGAGGAAACCACAGTCACAGAGGGAGGAGGAAGAGGAGGGTGTGCATAGAAACTGATCACTTATAAACTTTAAACTTACCAAGTGTGAAGATGGGGGAAGTTTCTGTGCTGTGGCTGCTCTGTAAGTTCCCTCTGTTTCTACAAAGTTTAGTTAAAGATACGTGCAAAAGGGAACAAAAACATTTCTCCGAAGTATGCTTTTAGGGATGTTTGGCTTTGTTACGATTAATTTGTGCGACTTACTCAGAAAGGTCGTAATGATACTCTTACAGGAAGTTTGCATGTTTTTCATTTTAATACATTTTAATACTGTTACATCCTGCTAGGTCGTAACAAATACAAATGTTGAAATTGTATTTAAATTCTCTTCACGTTTGAATCAATTCCTTGTTTTCAGCACTTTTTCTCCTTCCTTTGCTGGCTTTTCTTCAGTGTTTTTTTTTTTCACTTTGCCCTCTGATCACTTCGTTAAACCTCTCAAATTAAAAACTAACCCAAGTGTCATTTGTCTTCAGTCCTGACCTCACTGCTGATCTACACGACAAACCAAGGTCAGTGAGCTTCGTCTTTGTTAGTAAAAACTTAATTTAAGCATTCAGGTGTTGGTTTAAGGAAAAGTTTTGATTATTATTACTCATTGATGACATGCTTAAACTCTCATTTCATACAATCTGCTTCACCCCGATGCTTCACAGGGCAACATGATGGTATAAAACATGAAAAAGGTCAAACTCGTGTTGTACCAAGAGAAAAAAAAAAAATAAAAGGAAAGGAAACAAACAGCTACAAAGGGAGGAGATGGTTTTAACAAGAGCTCCCATTGGTGGCCTCACTGATAATGAAAGCAGAAAAGGAGGAAGTGACGCTGTTACAGAGACAAACAGACGTGATCGGAGCATGAGAGTAGAAAATTCATCAGCAGGTGACCAGAGCTTGTTCATCTGTGCAGTCTGGGACTATAAACTGTATATAAAAGATGGCTGAAGTCAAATGGAACAACAGTATGTTAATGATTAGTGAACTGTTTAAAGCTTTAGCTTCAATCGGGAACATCGTACTTAGAAGTGACCGTACTTGGGTGAGAGGTCAATGCCAAGCTATTGGCTAATGCTAGCTAGTTAGTGCTAAGTGACATCCAAAGAAAATTCTAAAATTTCAATCACTAAAACTGGAGCAGAGACATCTTATATGTGCTTTTAGAACAATTAAAAATTTCACCTCCACTTGTCAGTACCATTAAATAAATATAGCAGAAGTAGTACATTTATTTTGTAGTACACATTTAGGTTTTAATGATTAACTGTATGCAATATTTTCTTTATATAAATAAGTTTTTATTCATTAGAATTATAAAGACAAACTGTTAACTGTTTGGTAAAGTCAAGACATTCATTTAAAAATGTGTTATGAATTAAGTCATTCAAGGTGCTCACAAGTAGATTAGAGTTGAGATAAGAATCTGTTCATATGGTCTTAATGTTAACAGCCAGTGGAGTAAAGGCATGAAGACAAAAGCCTGGAAAGATTGGTGATTCGAATTGGAAGCATTTGTTATTTATTAGCTCTTCTAGCTAACAGCAGCAGGCAACTTTTTCTCTCCTACTTGTGGCTTTTGTGGTCCTACAGGTGATTCTGTGTCACTGTGTATGCAAGGTAAACATGGCTGTGTGTAAAAAAAAAAAAAAAAAAAAAAAAAAAAAAAAATTAATGCCTTGCTAATGAAATACCTCTTAGTTTTAAACCTAACACTGGTAATTAAACATTGTTTATTTTGAATGAATTTCGGCACTGCCAGTAATCCCAATTAGAGTCCTGCTAATCCAGATTTGATAAACCTTAAAAGTCTGTACCTGGATCAGTGTGATTGCCAAAACTGGATCACTTACATACTTTTAAAAATTCAACATTTACGGTGGAAACTTGCTTGACCTTTGTGATCAGTGCTCAGGTTGACAGTTTCTCATATCCAAGTATTTTTCCCTGTTTCATTCAGTTCGTCTGACTGTGAACCCAAACAGCTCTCAGTTCTTCAAAGAAAAGTCTTTGTCTCTGAGCTGTGAGGGGGCCGACAGCTCTGCTGGATGGACTCTGAGGAGAAGCACACCTGAAGGAGAGAGTCACTGTGGAGAAACGTGGGGAAGATGGTCCAATTATTCCTGTAAGATCAGCATGACGCTCCCATGGGACAGTGGAGTTTACTGGTGTAAGTCCAGAGAGGGTCCCATCAGTAACATGGTTAAGCTGACAGTCACTGGTAAGCTGAGTGTGTGGAGTTAGTGTTGATGAAGCTGTGTGTAAATGGATGAAATGCTGTAGTTTGTCTCTGTGTTGAGGTGGATCAGTGATCCTGCAGAGTCCTGTCCTCCCTGTGATGGAGGGAGATGACGTCACTCTGCTCTGTGAAACAAAGACCACTCCCTCCAACCTCCCAGCTGCTTTCTATAAAGATGGCTCCCTCATCAGGAAGCAGCCTACAGGTCACATGACCATCCAGCATGTTTCCAGGTCTGATGAAGGCCTCTACAAGTGTGACATCAGCGGTCATGGAGAGTCTCCATCCAGCTGGATCACTGTCACAGGTGAGGAGCTTCACTCTGATTTCAGCTCTGATTTCATCCACATATTCACCTGAACAGGTGGGATTCTCTCTACAGGTAATCCAATAACCACAGTCCTGCCTACATCTACACCCCCACCACCCACTTTTACATCCCTCACCCCTGGATCAGCTCCACACCCTGATGCCCCCTCCCTCCAGCTTGAGTTCAGACTGCCTTTCCACCTGCTGGTGTTCTGTCCGTACTTCATTGCCACTGTCCTCATGGTGTCTTTATGTCGACGCAGAGCCAAAGGTAACACTTTGATTCCCCTCGAATATTTTTAAAGCTCGATCTGGGATTAACTTATTCAACAGGCGCTCCTTGTTTCTTTGGTAACAGCATCACCTACCTGCACTGGACAGAAGTTGCCTGACGACTTGTTTGACTGACCACTGAGCATCAAGTGTGAGATGCAGCTTAGAAAAGTCAACATAGACTCTTTGTACAAAGATATTTCTGCTTCCTGATCTTCCCCTGTTAGGTCTTAACGTCAGGCTTTTTCCATAAATCCTTTTAAAAACATTAATAGCAGTTGTTTTTGTTGCTTTTCACTCCTAAAATTTCTTAAATACATTCTTAGGATCAATATGTGAATCACCGAAGAGAGAGAGTTTTGTTTTCTTCTTTTTATGTCCATGAGTGTTTAATTGATGAATATTGTGCTCACTTCTGGTGTGCCCAAGTTTCAGTCTTCGGCCCTCTTCTCTTCATAATTTACATCCTCCTTTTTTGTACCATTTTCCGCAAATTTGATCTTCACTTTCACTGTTTTGCTGATGACATCCTGCAGGCCTGTTTCCTCCCTCCCACCTTCTCCTCTTACAGAATGCTTATCTAAAACAAAATCCTGGTTCAGCTCTAATTTTCTAAAGCTCAATGAGGATAAAACTGAAATCCTCCTTATTGGCACAAATCCAACCTACTGAAGGCGAATCATTTCTCACTCACAATTGATAACCACCATTCTAGTCCATAGTCTCGTTCTCTTCCTTCCTCCTTCATTTACTATAGTAATTCTCTCTTACGTGGTCTCCTCCAAAAGTCCCTCCAGAAGCTTCAACTGGTTCAAAATCCCTTCTACCAGCACATCACCCCCATGCTCCAGGAATTTCACTGGCTCCCAGTGAAACTCTGGATGGTGTACAAACTTCTTCTGCTCATCTTCAAGGCCATTCATAACCTTGCTCCTCCTTATCTTTCTGAACTGTTAAGCACCTGACCTGCCTTTTTTCCGCCTCACCTCCATGGGAAGCAGAGCTTTCAGCTGCTCTGCTCCCAGGCTGTGGAACTCTTTACCCCCAGATATAAGAAACATTGGTTCTTATATCTCAGCTCAGAACCCGTCTGTTCAAATCTGCATATTCACTGTGAATCCACTGTTTGTTCATTTATCTTGTGCTTTTATTTTATTGTTCTTCATTGTGTCATTGTTCTATTATGTGTTTTATCCTATTGTGCAGTGTCCTTTGGTGTCTTGAAAGGCACATTTTGAATAAAATGTATTATTGTTATTATTATTATTATCATGAATACTTAACCGTTGGGACCTCTCTTTTCTTTAGGATTTATATTCAGTGCTCTTTATTGGCATAAAAACAATTAGGTTTTCAATTCAGTTTGATTAATGCAGCACCAAATCACAACAAAGGTTGACTTTAGGTGCTTTATATTGTAAGTACAATGAATGTTCTCTGTACAATAATACAGAGAAAAGAGAGAAAACCACAACAATCAGATAACCTCCTATGAGCAAGCAATTTGGCGACAGTGTTGCTGAGGTTAGTTCATAGACTGCAGACTGTTAGACTTGATGGATAGGATTAACAACCTGTTAGCTGCAAATAATCATGTGCAGTTCTGAAAGCAGTCTATGAACTAACCTCAGCAAACGGCAGCTAACAATGTTAGTGGGGTGGCGAGTAGCCTTCAGTAATACTAATAAATCACACAGCAGTAGTACATTCATGTCGTTGTAAAAAGCATGACAGTATATTAAGTAATCCAAAGTATTCAGAATACGTTACTCTCATTGAGTAACTTAACCGAATACGTTACAGAATACATTTGGGGGCATGAATTCTGTAATCTGCAGTGGAATACATTTTAAAAGTAACCTTCCCAACACTGTACATATATATGTATATGCTATATTTATGCTTTTATTCATCTAATAAATAAAGTTTTGTTTTTTCAATAAAGAGGCACTCACAGTGTTTTTCCACTCATCAGTTAGATGGAAAGTCCGTGTGCTTATTGTGGTCTGGCTGTGGTTGACAGAGCGACACATCCTCTTTGAGTTTGTTTTTTGTTCTTATTTCTACTTTTACTGAACACTGCAGACTCAACACACTGAGCCCGTGAAGCCAAAGTCTGGGTTTACGCTTCAGATCTCCTTTACATGATGCCTCTGTCCTCCTAAATTGCAAAACCAAGACTGTATGTGCTCGTTCACGCTTGTGGAGAGTTTCAGGCTTTCAAAGTGCGGACATTGTGACTCCTCCTCAGAACATCTGCTGTGGTTTCTGTGGTTTTTGCTCCTCTACAGGCTTTTCAGAAAAATGCTTTCTAAACTTGGCTGCAGGTTTAAAACTGCCCCCCTGCTGGGCTGGGAGTCCTGCAGCTACGTTACTTTAAATAAGCACAATCATCCTCTGTAAAAACTCTTCGAAGTAGAGCCTGTGACTGTCCACTGTGCTCGACAAAATAAGCCGCTATTTTCCACTGCCATAATTTTTTAAAATTCCTTGGCTCTGCTGGAGTAACTCTGCATGACTCAGAACTGAAAATAATCCTTCTTTATTTTGTACTGGGCATCCGTGCAGAACCTCAGTTCTAGAGTTCAACCTTGTGAACTCTCAGCTAGGAAGAAACAGTCACATTATTTACTTATGAGTGCTAAAACACTGCAAAATGCTCCAGTAATATCTACTCATCCCCAACCCATTGAGTCAGATGGCCGCCCCTATGGGCTCAAAATGTGGTCATAAATATTTTGTACTTGTAAAAAAGATTTGTGTGTGGACTTAGAAAAAAAAAAACCTGCAAGTTACAAGTGCGAATTTTGACCCTATTTTTCTTCCATTGATTGGTCATTGTCATGTCAATCACAAATGTAACAATCCAATCAGAGAACAGATGGGTTTGGCTGTCGAGGGGCGCTTTTTTGAACTGCAGGTC